GTCACAGAAGCGCCCAGTGGGCAGTGAGAAGACTGCACTCCTTTAAATGGACCCAAACGATTGAAATCCTGTCTTGACAATTCTTCATTTAACTAGGAATCTCCATGTATGGATGGCCTCTCCAGATCTTGGGGAACGCCTCCCCCGGTCCACGTGCATTTTACCACTTTGTTACATCTGGGGTCTTCCTGGGGCTCAGAGGCAAATAAATGCCAAAGGCCTCCCCCTGGACTGGGCCGAGATGGCCCCGAGTGACGAAAAACACTCATTGCCAAAACCTACTCACAGCTGGTTTTCAGAGGCTGTAAAATCGCACGAGAGGAGATCACCCATCTTCATTCTGTGGAGCTGCTGGGGCGTTCGAACCGCCAAGGACGCACCGCCTTCTGGTTAGAAGCGCGAAAGGTCACTAAAGGCTACTGAGGAGACCTGGCAGAGAGTCCATAATAGTGTCAGGCCGCTATCTGAAAGAAGTTCCAATCCACCAGCGGCTCTAGGGGGTGGGGGGGAAAGAGGGGCATTCTCTTACTGTAAAGACGTTCAGGTTCAAAACCTAATGAGGGTCGCTATGAGGCAGAATGACTCCACTGGCAGCTACAGAAGACTAATGTCCTGGATGGTGCAAATGGTTTGCGCTGGATTGCTAATCTAAAGGTTAGCAGCAGTGGGGGGTTCACTCAACAGTGTGGTGGTGCACTGCAATCCCAGAGGCGCATGGCTCGAATCCACCAGATGCTCTGCCGGGAAAGGAGGGACAATCTCCTCCTGTACCAGTCAGATCTGATTTGACGGTACACAGACACACAAAATAATAATAAAAAAAATAAAAAATTTAAAAACAAACAAACAAAAAAACAGTGTGGTGGAAGAAGGCCTGGCAATCTGTGGCCAGAAGAAGCAAAACCTGTGGCAGTTGTGTTCTGTAATCTAAGAAGTCGGAATGAATTGAAATGAAGTTCACATTAGTGGCTGCCCTCTGCACATGAACTCCGGCCTTAGACCTGGGTGGGTTCTCCTGTTCCAGTCTCCCTCCCATTCTTTCTCTAAAAGTACCCAGTTGTCTCAACCAAGCTGCCTTCTCCCCCCCACCCCCATCCCCTGAAACCCTGAAAGGACCAATCCATATGAAGTTATTACTTCTACTTGCTCATCTCTCAGAGAAGATAGCAAAGTAGGAAGCCCCTGGTGATGGAATTCCTAGCACCAGGTCATGGCCACAGAAGACTGGGAAAGTTTCCTTTATGACTGTAATCTAGGCATCTGCTTTGAGGCCAAGGAAGGCCTGACCTGCTTGAATACAATGCATTACAAAACCACAGGGCAATAACCCTTTAACTGGTACCAGCTGGTGGGACTTGAGAGTGTCTTGGATTTTAGAAAAGATATGAGATGCATAGCCTCAGCACCCTACCTACACCTCAACACTCAGTGCAGCAGCACCTCCTAATCCAATCCCTTGGCAAAATGGATATGTGATGCACACTCAAAGGGCTAGAGTAGAAGGTCAGGTAAGGTTTTTGCAGCCAACTGAATTCTGAGGTCAAGTTTAGGAAAGAGCTTTCCATTCAGCTTGGCTTAATAGTAAAGGGAGCTCTGCTGGCCTACTGGTAAGAAGCTACAATCCCAAAGGCTCAGGTTCTAACCCCCCAGTTGCTTTGTAGGAGAAGGATGGGCAGTCTCTTCCCATGAGATTTATTACCTCTGAAAACCCACCGGAGGGTCAGCGATGAGTTGGTTCTGACTTGACGGCACATATCAACAACAAAGAAGGACTGTGGAGAAGACAAAGATGCCCTGACTGACCCCCATGGTTGACGGAAGAGGTGCATAGCTTTTTCATGGAAGTCGAGGGTGCTTCCAGATGGGAGCACCATCTTTACTGGAAACCTAAGGAAAAATCTCTCCCAAAGGCGGATTGTTCAAATTGACCAGATGCTCAGCTTGAGAAAGAGGCGCAGTCTCCTCCTGTGCCAATCGGATCCAATTCGATGGGACAGAACAATGACAACAAAAAGAAGAACATGAAAAATCTCAGGGTGGTACAAAGTGTTAGCGAGCAGTAATCAGACCTGGTGTGCTTGGAGGCACCGCAGAAGAAAGGTGTGGTGACCTCGTTCCTAAACAATGAGCCGCTGAAAACCCCATGGGTGACAGTTCTACCCTGACACACATTGGTGTCTATTCAAGAGCAAAAGGTAAAAAGAAGGACATAGATTCAGATTATCCCTGGGACCCATAAGTAGAATAATTTTCCTGGGTCTTCTAACTTGAACAGCCTGCAGATCAGATTGTTGCTTCACCTACACTCTCTCAAGGGAGCTACTTGTTGGTCATTTAGACTGAATCATCGGGCCCTCAGTTATGGGCTCCCAGAATGCCTGGCTCTCTGGGAAGACCAGATGCTGCTCCAATTTACAGAGGAGACCTGGAAAGCCAAAACAATATCTTTTTAGGAGAGTTGGCAGGGAAGCAGAAGCCGTATTACCTTGGAGGAAAGTAGGCAAGGGATTGAATTTTAACCAAGCTTTAGATTTACCTTTCACTCCCCTTTCTAGAAGCACCTGCAGTGTACTGAGGTTGCTCGTCCTGAACTGGAATTTCTGCCTCTGATAGTGATTGCTGTGTGATCTTTGATAAATTACTCGATTTCTCTTAGTCTCTTCAAAGAGAAAATTAGAAAATCTACTTCTTAATGTTGGTTTGGGAATGAAGTGATTAAATAAGTACAAGGATCCCAAAACAGTGCTTGTCACTCAGAACGCTATAAATACTCATTATTATTATTTCAGTGGAAATACAAAAAATCAGGGAGATTTGCACAGAAGAGAGGTTAATCAATGTCATTAGCTGATCCTCAGGCCTCTACTTTACCAAGGCTGGCGTGACTTAATAATAATAATAATGCCAGGAGAGAAATGAACTAAAGAACTAAATTCCAGACTGTACTATTTTAGTATAGACAATCTCTGTTGTTGTTGTTGTTAAGTGCCATCACATTGAGTACAGCTCATAGCACTCCTATGAACAACAGATCTGACCACTGTCTTAATCCTATGCCACCCACACAATCTCTGACACACTCTGTCAAGCCCATTGCCGCAGTC